TCTATATGTTGACAATAGGGAAAGTAGAAAAACAGGTCAGACAAGAGGGAAAACAAACACAAGCACAAAACTGCAAGACTGAGAGCTGCCTAAGTATTTGAAGATAGTCGTTATAGAGTTAAAGATCATAAGAAAAGTCAGGTTAACAATCATTAGAAGGCAGAGCTTAAAAAACATGCATACAGTGAATTATGTATGTATCTTTTAAAAATAGGAATCCATCTCCCCCTCATGGCTCAGACTGGTCTGACCTTTCCTGTAATTTATAGAACATCAGAAGAAAAACATGGGTCATTTTCTTCTTTCTTTTTCTTTCTTCTTCATGTCTTCCCCTATCCCCAACAGGGGACAGGAGTGTCATGAATAAAATGAAATGTAGGTTGTCTTTTGCGTCCAACCCTTTAAGAATCGATTCTATGTATAGTGTGAACTTAGAGATGTCAAAGTACTTGGCAAAACATGCTTCTAAAATAAATACCATAACCAAGCATATTCTGTAAAATGGCTAGTTTGGGCCTAGAATTTGTGGTTGGGTAATTTTGATGTGGTCACTGTGTTATTTTGTGGTCAATGAAATTAATATACTGTAGAGGAGAACCGTAATAGAGCTCAGACTTGTGTTAAAATAACTCATTTCCCTACTTCCCACAAATTGCATATTTTCTTCTTTTTCTCTTATCTAAAAATAACTAAGTAGTCTGTGGTGATTACTCTTAAAGAATCAAACTTTCATTTAAGAAAGCCTGTTTCAGATAGTTAGAAGGAAAACTGAAGTAAAAATTCTTAGCATTTAATCCCAGACTTCCTCCAATTAGAGTAACATAATTAATGGGTTAAAAATTCATTGCTTTTAATTAATTGAAACCTATCTTAACTATATTCTTCTTATTTCCTTCTGTTGGAGTCTTAGAACTTAGAACCGAGGTCTCTTACTTACCATCTTTCTCAAAACAGGAGGGGCAGAGAGGGGAATAGGGGAAGTCTCTCTTTGATAGGAAAACTTCTTCCCAAGAGAGATGCAATTGTCTTAAGCTCTCCTTCCTAGGAATGTCATCAAATGATCAGAAGGATAAACTCATGGAGAAAAGACTGAGAGATATGTCACTATGCCCAGATGGGCATTTTATTCTGAAGGCACCTCTTAGAGATTACCTGGGACACTGCATTTGTATAACAAGATAACCTTCCTTTGCAATGCATTTCCACCCCTCACCTTTACCCAGTTTATCAAGAACCTATTTTTTCTTCAGTTCCATTCAGTTCCCAAAGAGAATTATTTATAAACCCTTGTCTAGTCTCCAGACCCATTCAATCATAGCTCATTCCCTACTCCCTGTCCCTAATGAAGAAGGTATTTAAGTATCAACCATCCAATCTGTCCCTTCTTTGAGTTTTCAAGCCTTTTGTGGCTCCCTTGCTTATGCATGTTAATAAATTTGTTATGCCATTCTCTCGTTAACCTGTCTTTTGTTATAAGAGTGTCAACCGTGATCCTTATGATAGAAAGAAAAGGAATCACCCTGTTTCTGCTGCTACACCTTGCTGTTTGATAAATAGTTTTGTAGTAATAGGAGTCAAATTGTTCAAGTTGTAGAATACATTATAAGTGGGATAAACTTGAATGTTCCTTCTTAATTCCAGTGGTGTTAATCAAATTTGGTTTCCAAAAATAGAATTAATCAATTGTTCTTTAATTAAAGAAACTTCTTAATGAACACTGTTGAGCTATTCACAAATTGTAGATTACAATCTAGAAAATATACCCTTTTCTTCTTCCAGCTCTCCCTCCCTTACATGTTCCTTGCTTCCCTTTCTCATTTTCTCTCTTCATTTCTTTTTTCCTTCATATAAGATAAAGGGACAATTCACCGAAGCAATTCATTTTATTCCACAGGGCAGTGGTTTTATTTGGAGTAGACACTCCAAGTAAATAAAGATAATTTAAATGTCATCATTTTATTGACTTTCCTACTCTTTTAATTAGCAAGACAGTTGATCTTTAATCTTTTGTGAACCACTTTTCAATGAAATCAATATTTTTGCTGACGTAGATATTAAGCTCAGAAAGTCTGATGAATGAAGAGAAGCTTAGCAAAAACTGTCATGAGGCATTCACTCAGAGAAATTTACAAGCCAGAAATTGATTTTCTTCTGGTATTCTTAGTGGAAGGTCAGTTAGTATAGGTAGGTCAATAGAAACAAAAGAAAATCAGTTTTTCTGAGATACTGCTCTTCCGTAATCTAGTATGTGCTTTCCTAAGAATACTCTTCTTTTTGAAAGCTTAAATCAGAGTAACTTATGTAAAAGGAATAGCAGGCATAGGTTAGAAAGTTGAGGAAGTTGAGGAGCACAGGACAGAAAAATTAAATAGCCGGGCACAGAATGCTTTCAAATAAAATAAAGCCATGTTATTCAGACATAGACATTGCTATTATTTCAAGAGAGATGGATATCTTTACATTATCTTTCAGTAAAAGAGATAAGATATAATAGAGTGTTTACTTTCTTAACAGAGCAAATGTTAAGTCATTTTGGGAAGTGTATGTATATACTAAGGCTTTTTCCTGAATAAAGGAAGAGTGTTTATTTAGTCTAATGCTATGGCACAAAAATGCAAATCATTCTTTATCAAAGCAGAATTTTGTCAGGTAATTATAGTTCTAAATGCACACTTCAAGAAAAAAATTAAAATCATCTATTAGCTCAATTTCTTTTCTACATTACCAATTGTGTCTATAGTGTTATATGCTAATGTTTTGTGGCTTTATTTAATTTATTCATATATACAAACCCTGGAATTAATTCATGTCAGTAGCTCTCCACCTTCTCTTCTCACTGTCACCATGAATATATTTTTTAAGACATTATTTTTCTTAATTATCCTCATGCAATAAAATTTTGATATCATGCTTATGCTGTATATCTGTTTATTACTCTATACATACCTGCATTTTATACATGAAAAAGAGTAAGGGTTTTTCCACCCTCAAAGAACCAAGTTTTGTGATTTTGAAGGTAAAATGGCCTATTAAGAATGCATGATAAAAATATGTTTTGCTGAATTTGAAATCTCTGAGTGGGTGAATTCTCTTTAATGGACTGTCCAATTCATTTTTGTGAAGTGGTTTGCTTTTTTTTTCATTTTATTTTAAAGAAATTTAGGTCACATGGACATTAAAAAAACAAATATTCTGAGTAGTATCCATAAACACAATCCTGAAGAGGTGTATCTTTAAATTGACAAATGTCAGGGTGTACTAATTTCCCCAGGTTCTTTACCTCTATTCTCCTCACAGTTGGGAATATTTAAATTTATTTCTAGGTCCCTAAAAACAATGCTAGCCTCAAGCAAATAGTGCTTAAGCATTGTTTACATCAACATCTTACAGCTCAGCATGGAATCACATGTGCTACTCTTTTAATTCTGCTGCAATATTCCAATTTTGATTACCAGGCGACTACCTTGCCCCAGGTCTGTTGGGTATTGGTCCTGATTCCCTTTACTGAATTGAGATACTTTGCTAAACATTTTCTCATTTGGGTTTTTCATTGTTCTTGCTACAGTCTTCTTTTTCTTTCCTTTTCCTTTTTTAACTGCTGTCTGCACTATACCACCCTTGCCCCTACTATTGTCTCTGAACTGGATTCTTGTCCTTGGTTTCCAATCTCATAGTGTTCTATTATAAAATTATAATTGGTGTTAAAATTATAATGATGATGATTAGTTGATAGTTGTAGATATTGTTGTTTGCTATGCCTTGAAAGAGCCAGAGTGAACTGCAAATATCTTAATGCTTGTTTGTATTCTTAATGCAAAGCTCACTTGTTGGTAAATCATATGAGAATAGAATGATCTAGTTTTTCCTGTTGGCTTTTGCTGTGGAAAATTTAAATAATTGGCAGAGAAAATAACTAAAACTGACTAGTGCTATTTCCTGAAGGGATTAGCTTAATATTTACTTAAGAAAATTGAATTGACTAGATCTTTATGGTGGGGAAGCCATTACACAGGCTGATGAATGAAGACATTTGTAAAAGAATCTTAGGAAAAAAAAATCTTATTTGTTTTTGTAGGCCCTGAGTTTTAAGTTTCACCCTCATAAAAAGTTTGTGCTTTAAAACATTTATTGAATTGAATTGATGCATACTTTAGCATTTCTTTCTTCTATCTTTAAACTGATTCCTTTTTCTCTTGATTTAACCTGGTATAAAATAAAATGATAAAGACTATTCTAAAATGAACATAAAAATATTTTTTAAAAAGATCTGGCCAGGCATGGTGGTTCACACCTATAACCTCAGCACTTTGGGAGGCCAAAGCAGATGAATCATTTGAGGTCAGGAGTTTGAAGCCAGCCTGGCTAACATGGCAAAACCCCATTTTTACTAAAAATATAAAAATTAGCCTGGTGTGGTGATGTACACCTGTGATCCCAGCTACTTGGGAAGCTGAGGCAGGAGAACCACTTGAATGAGAAAGGGAGAGGCTGCAGTGAGCCAAGATCATGCCACTGCCCTCCAGCCTGGGCGACAGAGCAAGATGCTTTCTTCCTGCCAAAAAAAAAAAAAAAAAAAAAAAGAAGAAAATCAATCAATCAAAAGGATCTAATACTCTAATACAAGCATGTAAAAAATCAAGCAACTGCTTAAAATATGATGCTATATTATCTGTATTTTTATTCATGTACATTCTTTGTGATGTGGATTTTAAAACTGGTAATGGATTTTGTATGTTAATGGTGGGATAGGGGAAAAATTGGGGAGGAGGTTTTCTGTTGTAAGTCAGCTAGGAAAGTGAATCATTTCCACCTTCATATGAAACCTTATCTTTTGAAATTTGTCTAGCAGTATTTGCTCTTTTGGTTGCTTGTATCAAATAGACATAAGCGGGTCTTGATATATTGATTCTTGATATCTCTATGATTTAAAATCCAATGCAAAATCTGCTTGCAATCATTTTTCTTGAATATAGCACTCTGCAGCTGTGATTCATGGAAACATATCTGAACTCACTATTCTAATTTTCTCTGTTCCCAAGGCCAGATCACACTGTTCTGAAATGATGACAATGATGCCTTTGTTTTCTGGAGTAGTATTTTCTCTAGATTAAAGCCAAATATATGTATTCAAAGATATTAATGAATTAATGACTTATGAATCCCTGATCAATTGTTAGGGAAAAGGGCATACTTATGCAGGGGCCAAGGTAATACTTTCCTTTCTCTCTCTGAAAGTTTGCTGAAAAAGCAACTGACTAAAGGCGAATGAATACAAGGAAAGACATACAAATATATTAATATGCATGGCGGGGGGGGAGTGCAGAATGATTATCCTGTCACACAATAACGTACAGATGCATACGTATCCTTCTCTGAAGAAATGAAAATGAGGAAGTATGGATAATTGTAGGGGAGTAGTAAATGATTTTTAGGGAAATTTAAAGGGCTTATGATACAAATGGTCTGGGATAAAGTCCAATGGGCTTGCAGAGCAGACAATGACTTGTGACAAAGTCTGTCCAAGTGTGGTGATAGACTCATTTTTCTTCCTACAATATGAGTCCAGTTAATGAGAACGTAGGAAAGGGAGCAGAAATAACTATTTTATGCTTTGAATGTTTCAGAATTTAGGCAAGTATGGAAATTTTAGAGAACAACTTCATCCTATGCTTTGGGAAAAATAGAGAATTAAGAGATAGGATTGGGGAAAGGTTAGCGAGAGCTTGAGTGTTCTCCTTAAATTTAGCATGTCAAAGTGCCGTGCTTTAGAGTATTGGTTTTGGAGACCCAACATTCCCCTGTCTGAAACTTTCCTAGAAGTTTTAGGTCATAAAAGCTAAATAAGTTGCATGGAGAGAAAAATCAAGACAGTAGCTGAATCACAAAGGATCCAATCAAATCAGTATCTCATTTCGGGGAATATGCCTAAGTAAACAGTTGTATCACATTTTAGAAGACCTAGCGGGTAAGGTCTCAAAGCTAGGCTTTTATATATTATGTAAGCAAACATATTTTTATCCCATTTATGCCTGAGTTGCAATATTTTCAATTGTAAAATCAGACCTTGGAGATGACCTTGAGCTGTAGGATATAGATAACTCACACATGCTTAGTGTTCCAATAATGGAACACTAGGCATAAATGGTTTTAATAAGAGGTGTCTCTATAGAAACAGAAGAAAAACAAAGGCCATTGTCAAGAACAGTCTATAAGTTAGTCCTTCTAGAGTCTGAAGGATAAGCAGCTGAGAAGACCAGTGAAACAAATTAAATTAAATAAATTTTTCCCAATATGGCCAAAGCCCTTACAGAGTTTTATAGAAAACAGGGTAGCCAATTTACATTTTAAAGCTCAAAGAGAATTTAAGTTTCTTTAAGAAGGTGTTTGAGTATGTTAGAAAAAGATTGAAAATGGACATTGATGAGACATAAAGTAATAGGATTCACTACGTAATTTTACCAGGAGACTAATTTCATTTAGATATGTAGCTTTCAAGTTAGCCTCTGTTTTCAATTGGATGATGGAACTCAGGGAAAAGCCCACTGACAAATAGTGCAAAAAAATGTAGTTTCTAGGCCTTAATATTTATGTACATAAAAAAACAGGTGCATTGAGAGGGCAGGGCATCTAGATCCCTCTAAAGTTATGGATCCTATTTTTACATTGAATCCTGGGTCCCCCCAAAAAATGGAAATGCTGCAGGATGGTGCTATGCAACACCTCCACAGTGCACCTTGTTGCAAAGACATTCTCCCAAGGTTCGTGGGCCCAATAGCAATCAGCCCACTCTGTGATTGGCATATCAGTCATGGGAATCCTATTTCTCAATGGCAAGTTTTCTCATAACCTCCAAGTGTTCAAACCATGCCTTTCATACCTAACTGTGCAAAGGAACGAGTAGCTACCAGTAGTAATAATCATTCACTACAACTGTTGTCAGTCAACTCCAGAACTGCAGCCCTTGCCAGTGACTTGCCAGCCATGGCACACCCACAGGTCATGTTCTTTCTAGTACAGAGTGAAACCTGGTGCCCCCCAAAGGCAAAGAGATCAAGTCACTCAATATAAAAACACAGCAGAGCTTTAGATCTGAGAATAACATTCCTGCTACCCTTGAGATTCCCTGAGGACATTTTTCTGTGTTCCTCAAGGGGTCTCAGAACCTTAGAAGTCCTCTCTAGATTCCTTCATGTACTATCAAAGATGGCAAAGAGGAAGGCCTGGTAGAAGTAAATGGGAAGATAATTCTTACAGGATCCAATTTGGGGAGATTTTAAGCTTTCTAAAAGGCCAATGAGGTTTTACATTTTTCTCCCCAAAAATTATGCCAACAGGAAAGGAAGCAAACATAGGGACCACAAATATTAAAAAGCATTTTCAGACAGCTTAAAAAGCTTCCCAGAAGCAGAATCCAAAAGAGAAAAAGCAGAAAATTCTAAAAAAATAAAAAATAAAAAATAAAGTTATAGCCTGAATATCAGCTTTTAGTTAAGCTGGCTTTTACAATAGAGCTCTTTAAAAAAATCTGTAAAAACCTCTTTTCATATTTCAGCCAGGACAAACAGCCAATATTCTTGGCTTGTGAACTTTTTTATGTCTTCTAAACCAAAGGTATCTTTCCAAGTGACTCACTATAACCATAAGCCTTAACTATGGTTATGACTTAACCAAGGACACATGAAGCATCTCCAAAGGTACAAAGCAGCTTTGACAAGATCCAGAAACTACCCCAAAAACAACTCAAAAAAGGGAAAGTTTCACTAGCTGCAAATGGGGTACAACTCACATTTCTGTCCAGTCATATTCTCTAGGGTCTCAGCTTCTCAGCTCACCATCTACAAAGGCCTGAAAACCCCATATGCCTACAGATGAAAGAAGACAGGAAATCAAAAGCTGTCCATGGAAGGGAAAAGGATCAATAACAAATAGGTATTCTGAAAATCCAGAGTCACACAAATATTAAACCATGTTTTAATCATTGTTTCTGAAAGAACTTATATTGGCAAACACTGATTCCCTGACCTGGAATAGAGCTTGGGCCATGTGAATCTTAGTCTCTAGACTACAGCTGAAGTGACTTTATTTGTAAATTCTGCAGGAAATTCCAAGCAGGCAGTTTAAGTGTACAAATAATTTTAAGTTTGTCCTGGTCAGATTTCTGCTCTTTAATTTTGTCAAGAGAATTTCTAAGGGTAGCCATAACATTATTATGTGTCTTTAAAAAAATAATTTGATCTTGGAAATACTAATATGGTAATTATTTAGAATGAGAGCTCTTTTAAAATCTTTTTTTCTTTTTTAAATTTAGGGGTCTTTCTAATTTAAAGGATCTATCTTTTGGTTGCCGCTGATTAAAAGTTCCAGTGGTGTACTTATTCCAATAGCAATGCAATCCAGTGAGTCTCTTCATGGAAAGCCTAGGAGGTAATTTTATAGGCTTAGAATAAGTTTTTTCCATCTACACAAGACATGTTTCCTGGAGACAGCATAGGAGATGCAGTCCCAATAATTTTGCCCTAAAACAATTCGCTCCAAGGAATAAGTTAAGGCAGCAAAGAACTTGTTGCCAAAGACAATTAAGGATAGTGTTTGTGCATCTAGTTCCCCCAATATCCCACAAATTTGTGGAAGGCTGCCAGTCACAGGTTTGATCTTCCCCAGGGCTAACTAGGCAACGGGTTTGGAATGATCGAGTGCCTTATGGATGAGATTTCTTATTAAGATAAACTCCCCTGAGAGCCTAATGCGTTCAGAACAAAGAGTGTTCTGTTGAAAATCTTATGTGTCTCAGGGTTCCCATTTTTTTTCAGACTGGCCACTGGACCATAACCCCAAAATCACACCCCCCAGATAATAGAGACCAAGAGAGAATGTTCCTACTTGGTCACAAGTCAGGCTTTCAAAGACATAAAATAAGATGAGGGAGAAACCTTGTTTGGTCTTTATTTTGGCGACCCATGCACAGCAAAGTTTGCCTAAACAGATGCTGGTGTGGTCAGAACCACAAAACTGACCATTATGAAGGACCGGCTCAAACAATGGGCATATTGGCGTTTTAGGCCTGTGTTATACTCTATAATAACCCTCTATGACAGAACAACACAGAAAGACAAAGGCAAAGGGAGAAATATTATTTCTGGGAGGAAATGGATAAGGCAATATCATATTCATACCAGAAATGTATACTAGCTACACCCAAGACTTGTCACACAAATTCTTTTCTCCCTTAATCAAGATTTTAGAGATGGAAATAAGACAAATAGTGATTTTTTTTTACCATCTGTTCAACCTAATCAGAGAGAGAAAGAGAGAGAGAGAGAGAGAGAGAGAGAGAGAGAGAGAGAAGCTGGGATCCCAGATGGTAAAAATTATTAAATTATTAAATTTCTTACTCTTCTATTGGTTTGTCAAGTCCTGAGCTCCCTTGACTTTGCTTCCAGGAGAGCAGAGAACCTTTGGTATCCTGCTGAGAGTGCCAAAACTTTAGGGGCCAAGGGAAAGTTTTACCCTTGCCCTCTGAAGGTTCACTGAAAGTCAAGTGACCGACAAAGGCACATTGACAGGAGAAATGGCATACATATTTATTTTTAGGCATCTGTTTCTGAGCCCCAACACTTAGGTCATGCCCTTAGTCTTTGGGGACGTTTTCAAAGTAGAATATATTATAATGTAGTTGTACTATTTATGTTTATACCACCTACTCACATTTAACCTTTTCCATGAGACCTGTTTTACCTACAGCCTCTACTATGAGAAAAGTCCTTCAGTGTCCATGCTGACTCTGCTGTCTATGACTTATTTGATATGGCATTGCACCTAATCCAGGAGTCACTAATTTATACACTAACTTGTGTGTGTGAGTGTGTGTGTGTGTGTGTGTAACCCAGAGTTAATAAATTATATTCTCCTAGTGAGACTTTGAAATAAAAATACAGAGTTATTGACTGTTCAGCTGAGTCACTACAAGGTAGATGCAAGGCAAATTACAAGGAGCCAGACTCCACAAGCAGGTAGAAGAATGAGAGTGGGGACTTTATCTTGGCATCACTCTAACCTGGTCATGATAGAGTATGCTGACACACAGTAAGTGAGCAATCAATAAATACTTGGTATGCAGGGAAACTCAGAAGTGCCATGCAAATAGGACCATGTGAACCATACAAGTTACGGGAGGAACAACAAAATTTTTCTTTTCTTTTAAAAACTTTTTTTTCTATAGGCTCTTAGGGTACAGGTGGTGTTTGGTTTGGTTACATGAGTAAGTTTTTTTTTGTTTGTTTTAGACTCTAAGTTCTGGAGTACATGTACAGAACGTGTAGGTTTGTTACATAGGTATACACATGCCATGGTGATATGCTGCACCTTTCAACACATCATCTACATGAGGTATTACCCCTAATGTTACCCCTCCTCTATATCCCACCCCTGACAGACCCCAGTGTGTGGTGTTCCCCTTCCTGTGTCCATGCGTTCTCACTTTTCAACTCCCACTTATGAGTGAGAACATGTGATGTTTGCTTTTCTGTTCCTTAGTTTGCTGAGAATGATGGTTTCCAGCTTCATCCATGTCCCTGCAAAGGACATGAACTCATCCTTTTTTATGGCTGCATAGGCTTCCATGTGCCAAGACATGCTTTGTAAGTTGTATTCCTAGGTGTTTTATTCCCTTTGTAGCAATTGTGAATGGGAGTTCACTCATGAGTTGGCTCTTTGTTTGTCTATTATTGGTGTATAGAATGCTTGTGATTTTTGCACATTGATTTTTGTATCCTGAGACATTGCTGAAGTTGCTTATCAGCTTAAGGAAATTTTGGGCTGAGACAATGGGGTTTTCTAAATATGCAATCACTTCTATGGGTGCATAGTAGGTATGTATATTTTAGGGGTATGTCAGATATTTTGATACAAGCATAGAATGTGTAATTGTCACATTAGGTGTATCCATCACTTCAAGCATTTATTTGTTTGTATGTTATGAACATTCTAATTATACTCTTGAGGGGGTGTTTCTTACTAAAATGAATGAGCCATTTCCTATTTAAACCTAATCCGTGTGCTCATGCTTTGGATTGCATTCCCTCCAGCATTCCCAAAGCATTCGTTCTGTAGTATTCCTTCTTTCTCAATTTTTACCACTGCTACCTCCACTGTCTTCTTTCTGCAATTATGTAAACATATTCAAGCATCTTCCTTTGTCCACCAGCTCCTAATAAGCTTCTCTTTTCATTTGTCCTCCTTTGCCACACCCTTAAATCTCCATGTTCCTAGGAATCTGTCCTGGATAATTTACTCTATCCATCCATTCCCTGGACTATCTCATCTAATCCCATAATTTGTAACTTCATATTTTTATATTGATGATTCCAAAATCTATATCACCAAACCTGCTCTCCACCCTCCCCTCTCTCTCTCTCCCTCTCCCTCTCTGGATCTTCAGACATTTCCACTTATTAGTGGGAGGCCCCAGAAAGTCCACAGAGACACCTGAAAATCAGTGTGTCTAAAACCAAATGCATCACCTAGTGTGCAATATAACAAAATAACATCATAATGACACGATCAAATTCACACACAACAATATTAATCTTAAATATATATGAGCTAAATGCCCCAATTAAAAGACACAGACTGGCAAATTGGATAAGAATTAAGAACCATCGGTATACTGTATTCAGGAGACCATCTCATATGCAAAGACAAACATAGGCTTAAAATAAAGGGTTGGAGGGATATTTACCAAGAAAATGGAAAGAAAAAAAAGCAGGCTTTGCAATCTTAGTCTCTAATAAAACAGAATTTAAACCAACAAAGATCAAAAGAGACAAGGGCATTATATAATGATAAAGGGATGAATGCAGCAAGAGCTAACTATCCTAAATATATATGCATCCAATACAGGAGCACCCAGGTTCATAAAGCAATTTCTTAGAGGACTACAAAGATACTAAGACTACCACAATAATAGTGGGAGATTTTAATACCCCACTGTCAATGTTAGACAGATCAACAAAACAGAAAATTAACAAGGATATGCAGGACTTGAACTCAGGACCAAGTAGATCTAACATACATCTACAGAAGTCTCTACCCCAATTCAACAGATTTCTTTTCAGCACCACATCACACTTAGTCTAAAACTGACATAATTGGAAGTAAAACTCTTCTCAGCAAAAGCAAAAGAATGGAAATCCTAGCAAACACTCTCTCAGACTATAGTACGATCAAATTAAAATTCAGGATTTAGAAACTCACTCAAAACTGCACAACTACATGGAAACTGAACAATCTGCTCTGGGCTGACTACTGGGTTAATAATGAAATTGAAGCAGAAATAAAGATGTTCTTTGAAACTAATGAGAAAAAAGACACAATGTGCAAGAATCTCTGGAACACATTTAAAGCAGTGTTGAGAGGGAAATTTATAGCACTAAATGCCCACAAGAGAAAGCAGGAAAGATCTAAAATTGACACCATAACATCACAATTAAAAGAAGTAGAGAAGCAAGAGCAATCAAGTTCAAAAGCTAGCAGAAGAGCAGAAATGACTAAGCTCAGAGCAGAACTGAAGGAGAGAGACACATGAAAAACCTTTCAAAATATCAATGAATCCAAGAGCTGGTTTTTTGAAAAGATCAACAAAATAGACCACTAGCCAGACTAACAAAGAAGAAAAGAGAGAAAAGTCAAATAGACCCAATAAAAAATGATAAAGGGGATATAACCACCAATCCCGCAGAAATACAAAGTACCATCAGAGAATACTACAAACAACTCTATGCACATAAACTAGAAGATCTAGAAGAAATGGGTAAATTTCTGGATACATACACCCTCCCAAAACTGAACCAAGAAGATGCTGAATCCCTGAATTGGCCAGAAACAAGTGCTGAAATTGAGGCAACAATTAACAGCCTACCAACCAAAAAAAGTCCAGGACCAGACAGACTCACAGCCAATTTCTACCAGAGGTACCAAGAGGAGCTGATATCATTCATTCAAAATTATCCTTTTCTGAAAGCACTCTGAGGCTGGGTGCTGTGGCTCATGCTTATAATCCCAGTGCTTTGGGAGGCCAAGGTGGGCAGACCACTTGAAGTCAGGAGTTCAGGACTAGGCTGGCCAACATGGTAAAACCTCCTCTCCACTAAAAATACAAAAATTAGCTGGGTGTGGTGGCATGCACGTGTAGTCCCAGCTACCCTGGAGGCTAAAGCAAGGGAATTGCTTGAGTCCAGGAGGCAGAGGTTGTAGTGAGCTGAGATCATGCCACTGCACTCCAGCCTGGACAACAGAGTGAGACTCCATCTCAAACAAACAAACAAACAAACAAATAAATAAAAGTACTTTGAATGATCCTCAGTTTCTTGCAACCAATAGAACACCTTCTGAAAAGAATGCAGCAAACACAGGTCCAAATTTGTTAAGAGAAATTGTTCACCTGACTTTGTCAGTTCTGGGCACCAGAATCTTCCTGAGTGAAATTATCAAGTTTGTCATCTTCTAATCTGGCATGTGCCTATGAAGTCCGCCTAAAGAGTTTGTTGACATGAAGCTTAATGAAGCTCCCCCTCCCCTGAAACAAATAATCTGATAATTTTTCTTAAGGTTTACCACTCCTAGTAAAAGATAGGATTCTACCCTTGTGCTAATGTGGTATGAAATTTCTCTTTTGTATCCTATGCTGTTTGTGCTCCACATGTCCCAGTCTATTATGCTGAAAAGTCTAGCTCTTGCTCTAGAAACCTTATTGACAACCACATTTAATTTATAGTTTTGGCCTATTAATTCCTGGAATGATGAAATGATGCCTATCTATGTTTCCCTAGCAGAGGCTTTGATATTAAAAACCTCAATGACAGTTAAATTCATTGTGAGGACTGCTATATTTCTCTCAACCACCTAACCTTGGAGGTGATGAAGGAAAGAAATGGAGATTGGTACAGGTCCGTGAGCAAAAGAAAACTTGTGAGAGAGCTTTAAGAGACAGTAATGATTGAAGGGATAAAAACAAAACACACTTCATTTCCACCCTCTGAAGTTTTGATAATTTGAAACTATGAAATAAACTGACAATAACGAGGAGAAAAGCATAGCAATAACTTAATGTGCAAGTGCACAGGAATTACACAAAGTATGAAACTCAAAGAAGGGCCAGGTAGTTGAATCTTAAATACCCTTTATGTAGGAGAAAGGGAAATGGGGGTGTAGGCAATTTTAGAGAGAGAAAAAATGATTTTTATGGGAGATAAATGGGTCCAAAGTAGTCTGAGACAATGTTATCTGTCTCAGGTTGGGGAGTCAACTGTAGCCTTTCATCTTGCAGTATGCTTTAATTTCTATTAGTGAATGAGAAAATCTAGGGAAAAAATTCACAACTGAGTATCTTGTGGAAGATTTGGATTTTAGGTGGATGGGGAATTTCAGAGAAAGCCCTTTCCTTGATATTTTTGGTCCCTAAGTGCTCTCTGAACTACAAAACAGCGTATTTGGGGTATTGTTTTCTGACCTTCAACATGATATAGGGAGGAAAACAGAGCTTTGTGGAGGGGATGGATAGAGTGGCACAGATCTGTGACAGAGAATTTCTAGGGCACCCTCTCTGGCCCCATATTGTCTTAGCTGAGTCCAAATCCAGAGTTGTAATCAGAAGCAGCTGAGCCACAAATTGGGGTACTCAGAGACTTACAAAATAGGCCTCACATATACCTAAGATCTCACATATAAGCTGTATGAATGTGTATTGTACATTCTGAAGTACAGATACTGAACTTTTGCCCCATCTCCAACCAATGGGAGTCTCAAATAATACAAAAGGAAGTTAGATGAACTCACAGGAACATGCTACGGTTTATTTATTGCATTAGAGAATTATAGCAAAGACAACGAACAACCTAAATCAGGGGAGCAGAATTAACTAAATAAATGAAAAGATTAAAACAAACCCAACAGTTAATAATAATGTATTATATATTTCAAAATTATTAAAAGAATAGATTATTAACCTCATCAGAAAAAAAGATAAGCTGATGAGGTGACAAATATGTTAATTTGTTTGATTGGATCTTTCTACAATGTATAGATGAAAATACCATATTGTCTCCCACAAATATATGAAATTATTATTTGTCAATTGAAAATAAATTTCAAAAATGAACAAACCTAGTAAGTATTAAAGATGCTAGACTTACAATGGTTATTATTTTTTGACTTTATTATGTGCAAAAGCAATATTCATCCAGTTTGTACCACCACTTCTAATTGGGTTACGTCTGGATAAACCCCACTGCACATTTTTGACTTATAATATTTTCAACATATGATGGGTTTATCTAAATGTAACCCCTTTGGAAGCCCCAAATTATCTGTGTATTAGAGATAGAATGAGAAATGTTGGAAGCATGAAACAGGAAGTCACACTCAGGGCAAAGAATACATTATAAGTGCATGAATTTGAAAAAAATGAATTTTCACAATATCAGTTTTCAAATAAAGCATTCAGTGGATATATTAAGCAGAGTAGATACAAACAAATCAATTTAATAAGCTTAAACATTATTTTTAGGAATTCTTCATAAAGGAATCAGGGAGACACAAAGAAAGAAAAAGATTAAGACAGAAACTGAAATAGGGGAACGAAGGCGGAAGAGTCAGAATTTAGTAGGAGTCTCAAGAAAAGAGAAAATATCACATGTGGGAAAATTTAAGTAAGTAATGGCCAAGTATTTCCCAGAAGTACCAAGAGACATGAAACTTCAGACTGAAAGAAATCAAAGTGCGAGATGGGATTAGTAAGAAAATCTCACTCCTCAATCTATTAAAGTTAAATTTAAAGATATCAAAGACAAAGAAAAAAAGGAAGAAAGAAAAATAGGACCTACAAATGAATCAGGAATCAGTTGCACATCACATTTCTCATTAGTAACACCCAGTACAAGAAAACAATGGAAAAGGTTTTTCAACGATTGAAAGGAAAAAAAATTGCATTTTTCTACACAGCCATAAAAATCATTTAAGTATGAAGAAAATTGAAGCTATGTCAGGCCTATACGGTGTCCACAAGTATCTTAGTCTAGACTCTCCCAGGAAATCAGAGCTTGTGTGCAGGTAGTTTATTTTGGGAAGTGATCCAGAGAAAATGAGGAGACTGGTGAGAGGAAAATGGAAAAGAGGGAAACACCAGTTCAAGGGTACATTTTAGAGTTAGTCAACTCTTTGGCGAACTGGGCTGGATCTCAGCAGGACCCTCAGAGTTACTGTGTAGAATGTATTTTGTTTATACAGCTTTTTCATTCCAACAGTAAGTATGAAACTGGTCGGTTTGAGAAAAACATTAGTTTATTAGAAGAATAAACAGTCCATTTAATTAAGAGGTGTTTCATAACATATTGGAAAAAACACATACTTTTAAACTTTTGACTTACTAAGGTGATAAATTGTTGTTCTAATATTAAAGCATTCTTTTATATTTACTGTACTTATTTACAGTGTAATATTTTTGTGACATAGTGAATTTGACGACTATTATGTTAGCATCTGTATTTGTATGTGAGATTTGGCTATAATATTTTATAGGGGGGGCCATATATGTTAGATTTGGAATCTTTGGATATGCAAATGTCATCAGATGAATTAAGAAGCTTTTCATTTTTGTCAACTTTAAGCATTGAAAGAACCAACCTCTAAATAATGCAGGGCCATGCCTACTTTTGAAAGTAGTTTTTGACAGCAATTCTAATTTTATATTTGAATGAATTACTTTTTCTGATAAATTCTCTATTTTAGCCACAGTTTAAAAATAAAAATTTCAAATCATGTTTTTCCTGCTTTGAAAATTTCTCTATATTCATAATTACATTGTTTCAGAAATCTTTTAAAAAGTAAATTGATGATAGTATTAATATCTATCTAACATAATAAAAAACACATGATTGTCAAGAATATATATAAAATCTTATATAACTATCATTAATCTTGACCTCTCTTAGGCTTAAATTTTATAGGGGTTTATTTTATTGTTTTACCTGTGTAAAATCTACACAGACTAGCACAATCTAGTCACTCATGGAAACTATTTTTCTAATGTTTGTACATCAGCTGTTTTTTGGGGTAAATTTTTTCTTGGTAGTTTTTTTTTTTAGAATTGGTGGCATTTTTAGTTAGAATTAATAAGACACAAGAAGCAACTTCTCCTTTGCCTATCCTTTCTCTAGTTATAAGTGTCATTTACTACATGTTAGATGAAGTAGAATAATGGAACATACCTGAATCATTTCTCACAAGTGTGGGTTCACAAGTGTAGGAACCCACATAAAAACCTATGATCTCATGTAAATATCTTTTAAGGATAATTAAAAAGAATATGTAAAATCTTGAGTATCTAAAGATATGTAGGATTTGTATTTTCTCTATTCATTATGGGAAATCTTGTAATTCATGCTATAAAT